ATGTATATAATTATATATATAAACTCAGGAAGCGTCTGCAGGCGGGGAACCAGCTTCACTGACTCCCTCCTCCAGGATTTCTCTGACTTGTTCAAGACTCTCAGCCTGCCGAATTACCTCCAGCTTCACCTGAAGGGACAGACGGCGATCAGAATAATATTTACATTTTCTTTTTACCATCGATCCTCCACTCAAGCAAACGTCTACAACTGTATATTGCGTCTCACCTGCAGCGACTGGGAGAGCTGGACAAAGTCCCTCTGGACGGTCTGGACGGTGTCGGCCTGCGAGCGCATACTGATCACTTGGCTGCGCAGCTCCAGACACTGTTGATGCAGAGACGCCTGACAGCCACGGACAAACAATGACGGATTAGCACTATTTTTAATATTTGCAATGTAAGCGTAACAATTCACGAGTCGGGTTTGTCACACTTGATGCTCATTATGTTAATATTTCAGTATTTCTGAGAATGAGAGCACTACAGACTTCACTGAGGCACACAGGCAGCAGTGATCATTACGAGCATCAGCAGGAGCACTAAAGCAGGTTGGATTTACTTTATCATCAGTGAGGGTCTTGTTGGTGCAATGCACGTGAGACAGCGCCACCCGCAGGGCGTCCAGTTCAGTGCGGCAGGCCAGCAGTTCAGCCTGCAGCTGGTCCTTCTGACTCTGGATCCTCTCCGTCTCCGTCTTCAGACTGGACAGCTGCACTGCACGCACGAGGAAGGACGGAAGAAATACAGCTTATGAAAAGTGGCTTCTTATTTACTTAGTTTAGCTAAACCAATCACAAGAGCTACTGATTGGTTTACCAGACTAATATTAAAGTTGTGGACTCACCTTCTAAAACTTCTGATGACAGTAGTTGCGAGTGGGTGCAGGCAGGAAGAAAGAGAGGAAGATTAAAACATGGTTCAGTGTCAAGACAGTCAGTGATGCAAACCTGCCCTGAATATATATAATATATAATAATAACAATAATATAATCCACAGACCGTTCTCCTCTGTCCGGGTGTCCAGCTGCTCCCTCAGGTTGACAATCTCGATGCGGAGCCGCTCCTCAGAGTGCGCCCCCTGCAGGTCAGAGTCAACCGTCAGCACATAAACAGTCACTGCTGTTAAAGCTGTTCGGGATCAAACACAATCCGCCAGGACATTAACAACTTCATTCCAAAATGAACCTCCAATTAATTAAGCCGTTTCAATATTTTACAGTCATCACAACAACTATCTGAAATGAAGAAAGCAGCAACTAGCTAAAGGGAAGTTACATAAAATAAGCTTCCCACAGGTTTCTGTTCCCTTTACAACACGGTGTGAAAAGATTACTAAACTGGATGTAATTAATGTCAAACACATTAGTTTATTAATTGTGCCAACATCCATGTTTGCATGAGTTTTTAGCAGATAAAGTGTAAATGAAAACCTAGAACAGTGATTCTACCTGCAGCGTTGCTGGGAACGATGAAGAGTCTGGTCCCTCCTCCTCCACCTCCTCTCCTTTCAGTCTGGACAGCTCACTGCACACCTTCCTCTGGGAAAACGACAACTCTGCCTGGACACACAAATGCAGATTTGAACACCTCCGTCTACCGAATGAGGTCATCTTACGTTCTGTAATATGCAGCTAGGAATCTAGTGACTTCTGTCGGCTTCATCCCTGTGTGATGGATGAGTGAGTCATGATGCACTCGGGATGCGTTTATGACAAAAACCAAATTTAAGAGCCGCAACTTCATTTCTGTTCTTGGCGTCTTTTTCATTTTAATCAAGATGGTTGAAATACAAAACAGCCACATTAAAATGTAACATTTATGTCTGTACAGTAAATATGCAGCTGGAGCCATCAGCCAATTAGCTTAGCTTAGCATAAAAACTGTAAAAGGAGGGAAACAGCTGGCCTGGCGCTGTACCTCTAAAGGTCACTAATTAAACACCGTTAGTGTAATGTGTACAAACGTGAAATGTCAAATCATTATATTGTGATTTTACAATTGAGTTATGTGACAGACTTTCTTTGCAGGGGGCTGGCAAACGTGCCCCCCCCCCCCCAGAGTCACAAACTCTGTCGGATCGACATCATGTGACTCACCAGCCGACTCTGCACGGCATTCTGTGATTGGCTGAAAGATTTCTGCAAATCCTGGAGGAGGGCCTCTGAAGTGTGGACCTGACACTGGAGCATTGATACCTGAACACACAAACAAATGAACATGTGTAAGTCTGCACACGTCACATCCACTGTGTGATTGTGCCGGCTGTCGACACACTCTCAGAGCAGAGCTGCTCACCTGCTTGTGTGTGTGGTTGGTCTGTGTGTCCAGCTCCCTCTCCAGCTCCTCCTTCTCAGCCTGCAACCGACTCGCCTCCCCTCGCAGCTCTGACACCTGCCCAAAACAGCACACCTTCGTTACGCCGCTACGTCATTTGTTGTGTAAAACCTGACTCTTGATACGACAGAACACTGTACCTGAGCATTGAGTGCATCCCAGTCGCCGTGCGTGATGAGCCGGTGACCAGCCGGCGGCAGGTAGATGGCTTCCGGCACCAATGTTCCTGTGGAGACCAGAGAGTCGGTGTCCTCCTGAGCGTGGAGTTTTCTGGGCAGAGAGGGCGTGTCCAAAGAGAAGGAGGATAACGAGGCCGAGTCGCAGTGCCGCAGTGAAAAATACGCCTCTGACGAAAGAGGAGCCCCTTCTCCCTCCGCCACCGCCTCCAGCTCCGCTGATTGGTTGTGCCTCCTGTCCGTCGGCAGCGCGGCCTCGGCCTCCGTCAGGCTGTTGGTGATCGATGCGGTGGATTCATTGCTGGGGACTTCTGCCTCCGTCCTGCCTCTCCGTTCACTGATCTATCAGGTAAAGGAAAACCTGGGGTTACGTCCAGGACATTTGGGAACACTTTAAGAGAAGAAAAGACACAACGTCAAACACTGACCACGGTCTGTCCACTGGCTCTCCTCCACTCCGCAGACTGAAGGACGGATATCCGGGCCTCATACTGCGCTGCCGTCTCTGTGAAGACAAAAAGCAGCACGAAATAATGATTTAATCCTCCAGTCAGACGAACGGTTTATCTCAACGGTTGAGATTCTTAAAAAAAACGTTGCATAAACTCACGATACTTTAAAGTCTTGCTAATAAAACAATCTCAAAAGCAGCTATACTTTTACTTTCTTAATTAAATTTTCCTTGTTTTAAAAAGGAGTATAACTTGCCCTACATGTAACTGTTTCCCTGTCCCCTCCTGACATTTGACCTTAGTGAATACCTCAACTACATAGTTTAGAAATTACACAAACAGTAAACAAAAAAACGTTTCAACGTGAAATCAAATAAATGGGCACAAACGCACCGTGCTTATCGCGCAAACACACAAACATGAAGGCGCTGAGACAAACCCACACTGACCTCTCAGGGCCTCCTGCAGGGACTGGATCTCTTGATCACATTGTTTTTGCAGCTCTGCCAGTTCCTCCTGTTTGCTCAGCTCACAGATCGTCGCCACGCCCTGCCAGTGTTCGGCCTGAGCTCGGAGCTCGGCCTGCAGGCCCTCCTCTGAAAAATGATGAAGAATGTGTTTCAGCTTCATTACGTCTGCATCATTTAGTTTTGTAAAGCTGCACCCAAAGCCTTTAAATACAGGTCAGCCAGTCACGTAAGAGTGTGTTTGTGTGTTGTAACAAACATTTAATGAACAAGGATTAGGCCGTGAATGACCCCACCTGACAATATTCTTAGTTTTTTGAGTGTATGTGTGGAAACATAACAAATCGGTCACATTGCTGAGCACACAGAGATCAATGAGAATGAGCCCCATTTATAAATGAGTCTAATGAGTGAATATAATAAAGAAGTCCAACTGACTCCACTGTAGTTAATGGAAAAATAGCAATAATAATGACAAGTATGTCATCTTTACTTCTGACCTTATTAAAACCCAATATGTAGAAAAATATTATATTATAAAAATATATAACCCCTCTGTGTGCCACAATCCAGGCTTATACATGTAATACATAAAGCATTGCACCAAATAAGAAAATATTATCACGTTTGTTTTGTTTATTTGGTCATTGACAGAAACAGAAAGAGCAGCCTGTAATCCTATTGGTCATATCAACATCTGGGATCAGCTGTTTAACAACAGAGAGGTGAACTCCAACAGCAGAAGTACAACAAGACTTGTTTGGATTTGGGAGAGGAAGAGCTTTATATAAAGTCATATAATAAACAGTTATAGAGCTGGAAATGTATTTAATCCTGTTTTACAGCATGAATGTGTCTTTTTCTGTGGCATGTCATCAGGTTTATGAGTTATTCTCTTTACATTTGGAAGCATAAGAGGTCCAGAGACCACAGCTTAGACACCAGTTAAGTTAAGCTAATGTGTTAGCTTGCGGCTAGCCGCGCCCGTTCATTCCTATGGTCAACGATGCTAACAGACCGTTTTGTCGGCTAACTGACCAGAGCTGCTTCACAATCAACAGGTTAACCGTGAATGCTCATTCAAATTAAAGCCGTTAAACAGTCAGTGACACCTCACAGCACGTCACGGTGGAAGTAAAGCGCATTAAAGTTGAACGTTGATGTTTTTTATTACCTGTGTCTTCAGTCTTTGAGCTCATCTTCAGCAGCTCAACTGTCGAGAAGAAGAAGAAGAAGAAGAAGAAGAAGAAGAAGAAGAAGAAACACGTATATCAAAAGTCCGTGAAACGTGTCGGAGTCATTTTGAACGGGCAGCAGTGTTTTAGTGTGGAAACGATCCGCTCAGTGTCAATTTCAGGAAACAACTCCCCCCGTCTAAAGCCTGCGGAAATCACGTCAACCTCCTTCCTGTTCTCACGAGACTCTCCCTGTTTGACTTCTAATGTCTCTGTTTCTTAAATGTCAAGAAAGGTGTGAACGTGTTTTCTTTTTGTAGCTGCCACATCCTGATCATCAGGTATCTCTTCATGGCCACTGTGTCTGAACCACAGTATTGACTGTCCGTTAATACTGTTACATTATTTATTCATTCAAGTAAGTCTTCATCACATCCGACAGGTCCTTTGGCAGCAAGCTGCAGCTGTCAAAAGATATATATAATAATATATATGATACTTTTCCATTTGATGGAAGAAAAAGTTGGTGTATAATAAACATAATTAAATGTTTTTAATTATCTTTTACCATGTCATAATGAGGAAGATCAAGGGTTAAGTCACAGAGAACATTTTGGCAATTTGAGGTTGTTTTATATATATTTTGTTCTCAGATGAATTCCTGACTGGCATGTTATGACTGCTCCCAAAAACCGACAGTATTACTCTTTAGAAAATGAATAACATGAATTAATGAAAGAAATCCCCCAAATATTGAAAATCACATCTCATTTTTTAGATTCACCGGCATTTAAATTATTCCCTCTTTTTCTAAATTTGCCAGAGTCTAAAAGTGAAAAGGTGAGTGTACTGAATGCTTTAACAGAGTGCAGAATATCCTGCAGGTGATCGTGTAGTTCAGTCATGGATTCTCTATCTTGTAGGTTGTTGTGCATGGATCCACAATATTTAACGGACTGGAATGGAGGAGCTCTGAGCACAAGGAGGGACCTGCTGATCCGACCTCGCTGTCATCATGAATGATGTCGCTTTGTGACGGCTAAACTGTCCAATTCCTCCATTAAACACAACAAATATGTTTGTAGAAAAGTCTGTCCTTTTCACAAAGCTAGTTGCAAAGTGCAAAGTGCATAATGCTCTCTGGCTGTTATCAGCTTTGACAGACAGGTCACTCTTCACACTTCATGCTGACATGATGCACAGTCCTCTGTTGTCCTCTACAGAGAAGAGATTATGTAATCATGTCGTATACGTTCAACGACTTAAACTCAAATGCGAGTTAAGTTTAGAGGGACTTGATAATGTTTCATGTTTGGGTCAATCCCTCTTCTGCGTCAAAGAGCAGGACTCTTATTTAAGTGATTAATAAACGTAATCTGTTGAAGAATGACATGTGAAATAAGTTATAAAGATGTTAAAAACCAGCTTTAAGATTAACCTGGAAACTATTTTATTGGCAGCAGTCTTTTTGCACCCGTTTCCTTTGCTTGACAAGGGAATGACTATCCAAGGTGTGTAGTTTCCTGTGTTTGCTTTTCAACCAAAAAAAAAATATGCACAACCCAAATGACACCAAACTGGAAGCCACACACATTCAGCTTCAGTTATAAATCTGTGATAACAGCAGAATCCTAACATCCACACGCTGAGAACAAAACTGTGGGTCTATTCATAGAAGTGATCCAACTCAAGCCCCGATACTCTTACATGCCTCTCTTCGATTTTCATCTAGAATTCTGAGATCTACAGCGGGAGGGCAAGCATCCCGTCTCTGCTTCATCCAGCTGCAGTCAAACAGGGTGTGGAAAGAAACCGATGCAACCTCCACCGAACGTAAATCAAGATGTGAAGTATAATACAAAACGTGGGCCTGCTTTCATCAGAGCACCAGAAGAAGAGCAGACACTTAATGTCCATACTGTTTTTAAAGATCTACAGAACAATCTGAAGACAGACGGTATATTTAACTTTTATATTTAAGTCTTCAGTAATTAAAACATGGTCACAATGTAGAAGAGGAAAATAGAAAACGTCACTGGAAAAATGTTTGCTGGACATTTACTTCATTTACATGAGTTGTGTGTACAATAGAATATTCTACATATTAGACAGACGTTCATGATCAATACCCAAAAATTATAACTTCATGATGCCAGGCAGTCAGAGTTCTGTATAAAATGCTGGTGAAAGTCTTCAAAAATGTATTCAAAGTGACTCATAAAGGAACGTTATAAATAGTTTGCAAATGTTTTAAACATGTTAGAGTGGTATGAGCCTGAATTATTTTGACTGGAGCAGAGGCACGAAATACATGTATAGAAATGCTCACAACAAGTAATCAGTAACAAGAGCTCATTTCCAAACTATTATGCAGTTAGTGTGTTCACAGAGGCAACATCTAAAAAGGTAAACGGGGCTTTACATTATCCAGAGCACCAGATCTGTGATGGGTTTCTACGAGCGTACCATGTGCTTATTATTTACATCCGCACAACGAGACGCAGCATCGAGGGGTCGGAGGTACACGACGGCCGGAGTGAAACCTCGGCAAAGCTTCTATTTCATTTGATCCAGCGTCGGTGTCGGGATGCTGAATCGTCGTCTCCGTCTCCGTCCGTCTTTACAAGTCCATGTCGTGATCGCTGACACTCTGCCGAAGGTATTCTTCATACAGCTTTTTCTAGAGGGACACAACAGACGGTTCAACATTATACCGTCTATTATATAGAGACAGACAGACAGAGAGAGACAGACAGACAGAGACAGACAGACAGAGAGAGAGAGAGACAGAGAGAGACAGACAGAGAGAATACCTTCTTGCTCTTGACCACCTCCTGAATGTACTCCAGCTTCTCCTGCAGTTGTCTTTTCTGTTTGCCTGAAAGAGTCGGTCGAGTCCTGCAGAGGATTGAAGGGAATTTGATGAGATTTGTTATTAACATACAAGCTGACGTTTGTTTTGATCCTTTGTCAAGAGCAAAGCTGCAAATCCAAGGGAACCCAAAAATCACATGAGTCTGCTTCACATAGATCATGTTCTTGATTCCACAAAGGAAATAAAAAGTGTCAAAAACAGTCAAATATTAAGGGTAAGGAAAACATAACAGAACCTCAGAGTACACATGTAGTTTATGTACAAAACACAGCTGCATCCAGCTATTGACAATCATTAATTAAATCACATTATTATATTTGTGATTAATTAAAAACTCATTTGCTATATAAAGAATATTTGGCACATATTGCTTGACAAATTACTTTAATATTTAAATAATTAATTAACTCCGCCATGGAGGTTTGGTTTGGTTGTCGGCAGGATTACGTGAAAAACTACCGGCCCGATTTTCATTAAAACGTGGTGGAAGGGTGTCGCATGGACCGAGGATGAACCCATTACATTTAGGAGCTGATCCATAAGGAAACATGCAAAGCATTTGGCCTTGGCCTGGACTCTCAGAGTGCCCTTCTAGTTAAGAGTAGTTGTGTTCATTATAGAAAGCAAAACAAATAAACTGAAATAGAATTCTAAATCTGAAAATAAAACAACTACCACAACGAATGAAAACAGTGACTTTATAGTAAGTAGCAGTAAAGCAGCAGATGGCGGTGCTGTTATCGTCCTACCTGAAGGCGAAGCGGGCGATGATGAGCAGGAGGAAGGAGAGCAGGACCATTCCTCCACAGCCGTAAAGACGCTGCTCCACAGACAGCGAGTCAAACACTTTGACCACCGGAGACTGTGGATCACAGGAGCGGCTCAAAATCAGACTCGACTGCTTTAGATGCAGACGTAGCAGCAACTGCAGCAGCGGTGGTGGTGGTGCACTCGCTTCAAACACTCACCAGGTAGAGGGAGAGCGTCTCTGTGCCCTCGCGGCCCAGAGCCACCTCCAGCAGCTCCTGGGACAGAATGCCCAGCACCAGCAACGCCATCAGAGCCAGAGGGATGGTGAAGCCCAGCAGAGTGAGGAGGCAGCTCTTACAGCGCGCCCGCCGGTTCATAGCACTGGTGTGCCTGTGGGAGCAGAGGGGCTTAAGCTTATTGTCCGACCGATGCCACCGTGTGGATCACCATCACAGTCGGGGTGATTAGGAGGCAAAGTGTTTGTGTGAAGTTACCTGTCGTTACCGAGCGTGTCAGTGATGGCCTCGCTGATGAGCTCACAGTCCTTCTCCAGGGAGTTCAGTGTGTTCTGGACCGTTTGGTTGATGGTTTTCTCGATGGTGCGACAGACCTCCTCGATCTGGTTTACACAGCGACTTGGCTGAGAACGGGAACAAAGACAATGTGCACCTGTCAGTGAAGTTCTATCACGATCTTTAAACTCTGCGGAATTATATGCCAAGAACAAATTTAGGTTTTGTTTTTTTTTGCTTTGTTTTTTAAAAATCACCTGGAGCTCAATGAAAGTGCAACTCTCACCTTATTTGGGTTAGGAATGTAGATAGTGGGCATGTCAAAACCACATTTGTTGAGTCCCGGTCGCTTGCAGAGCTCCTGGACAATCTGCATCATTACTCTCTGAGACAGACAGTCGCATAAAGACAAAGAAATAAGTCTTCTGTGCTCAGACATACTTTAAAACCTACACTGGAAAAGACTCTTGAGCAGCTTTAAACTTCCCACACACCTTAACATGAAGAGGACATGTTTTTATTTTAGGTTATCATTCCTCCTATCATTTTTTAAATTCTTAAACATGTGGAAACTGTTCATATGAGGAGTGGATAATGTTTGGAAAGGACAACGTGTCCCAGAACAGAAGCGTGTGTAAATCATGCTGTTGCTGTGCGGACCTGTCTGTCCGACTCCCCCCCGGCCTCGTCTGCCTTGCTCAGGTAGAATCGCAGCCGATCTCCATGTTTCTCGTTCATACGCTCCACGATGTTGAGGGAGCGCTTGCACAGAGCCTGACCCATGGGGTCGAAGAAGACCAGAACCAGGTCACAGAGATCGCCTGAGTGTGACAGATGGTTACAAATAATCAAAAGTTAGTTCGCAGAGGAAATGGTGAGAGGAGCAGTTAACCTGGAAAAAGCTCACTAATGCAACACAAACACTGTGGCAGAAATAACAATGGCCTGGTGCTTTTTAATGCCAGTATTTAACTACAGTACCACAACAGGCACGGTCAGCGTGTGGCCACTCACCCAGCCACATGATAACCTCGTCCACGTCAAACGGATACTTCATGTCACCGTCCACCAACCCCGGAGAATCCACAAATGTCACCAGGCTGAACCGTTTCTGACGTGACGTGCAGATCTCTGTGCTCAAGTACTCCGAAACCCCTGAAAACCAATTCCAAGAACATCACAGATCAGATCGACAGTGATCACTTTACAATAGAAGAAAACGTACCGCTGAAGCCACACGGCTGGAGCAGTGTAAAATAACTTGAATGCTTGTGGGGAGGGTTGTGATTTGAGCTGAAGTCTAACCTTTGAACTCTTGCAGAGGCTTGAAGTGTGGATATAGATGAAGGGTTGCGTTTCCCTAAAGAAAAGCAGAACCAGATTAGTCGTCGATAGTTTGTGAACCAGGATCTCCCGAAGAACTGAAAACACGTGAGAGGAACTAATTCAAGTTAATGTAAAAAGTAATTATCATGAGGAGTTATATAAATGTCCATAAAACAGTCAAAGTTGGGACAAATACACAATTTGTTGCTTCTTCCTGGACCGAATCCTTTCTTACAATAATTGTTGTTTTTGTACAGTTTTACTCACTGTGAGAGATTCTCTCTTGCGCCCACTTGTAATGAAGTTGAAGCCTTGGGTCTCAATAGCCACTCCAGTGCGCTGGATATGCTCTTCCACATACCTGACCAAAAAAAGAGGAAAATGTCAGAAACAATTTAGTGAAGCACAGATGGAGGAGAAGTTTTGTCTTGGGCGGACAGACTTGCGATCTATAAAGTACGTCGGGACATACTTTCTAAAAAAACATGTTTACCAGTTGATGAAGGAGCTTTTCCCAGCAGAGTGGTTGCCCATCAGCATCACAGTGATCTTTTTCCTGGGCGGCAGCAACTTCACATTAACAGATTCGGCTACCGAGATCAGCCCTGGAATAAACATGATCAAAAATAAAGGATGTAAATTATCCATCAAGTAAAATTGGAGTCATCATGGTGCTGTGGCTGCACCTGAAGGGCTCAGGTCAGACAGACAAGAGCCAGACCAGGAGCTGGAGAATGGCCCCAAACTTTTTAGTGGGAGTGTTTCGTTTTTAAACATGTCGTAAAAGCATAGAAGTAATAAAGTAAAAAAGTAAAAAAAAAAAAAAAGAAAAGAAAAAAAAGATTGTACTTCATTCATTTTCTGAAGACCCAGAATCCTTAGCGACGCCCCTGTGTCTCTTGTGAAGGGACACTACAAACTCTCTATATAGGTTACATCATGAGCTAGCATACGTTGCAAACAACGCCGTGACTGCGTGGCTGACTCATAGATAAAGAATTGCCAGCTGAGCGTGGCTAATATAACTAGCATTAACGCTAGCTAGCTAGCGCAACGTCAGCCAACACACACGCCTTGTTTAATGGCCAGCTAACGGTTAACGGTAGCCCCCGTGTCAGTTAGCTAGCTGACCGGGCTAACCACAGGGCAGCAAACAGCTCGCTAGCTCAACTTAACTAAAGCAAAGGTGAATGTTTGGAGTGACTTCCAGTGACGGGGTTGAGTCCAGGACATCATGTCAGCCAACTCACCACTGTCCGGATCCGTGTACAGTTGATGACAATCCCGCAAGATGCGCTCATCGCAGGACACACCGCCGGTTATCGACTCTGCGTTCGCGGCGCTCCGGTTCTTGGTTTTCCCAGACATGATGGTGTCAAACTTGTAGAGAGGCTCGTTGAAATGAAAGACTCTCTGAACTAAGCTACGAACAAAGCCGGTTAGCCCTGTTTGAATCGCCCCGGTCTGCTGAAACGAGACGTTGGGACGTTCCTTGGCCACGTCGTCAGCTAAAGCGGCTTTTTGTCGCACGGGATTGTGGGTATTGTAGTTCTTACATTGAATTAACGTGGCATCATACATAATTGATTTCACTAGTCGAGCCCTACACTGAAACCCTACAAGAGCCAGACAAGTGGGAGGAGAACAATGATAAGTACATGTTTAAATGTTTGATATAAATGGACAGATTGTGAAAAAACAAAAGGCTGTTCCTTCTTTGTCGAAAGAACAAAATGTCCTACTAAAGGTGAAAAGGTCTGAGGCAGGTAAGAAGGGAATTACAATAATAAGTGAAAGGAAATAAAGGTTTCACTGACAATCTCCATCACGAAGTGGGGTATGGGATGAAAGGATGATACGTGTATTTTCAATTTGGTAAAAGACACAATGAAATGTATTTTTCCATAGCTTTTATTTTATCCTTTTCACAATGAGAACAGAGACACGTCAGACATCGATGTATTAGCTCTAAGTGCACTTCATAATGCATAAGGTCTCCTAATGCAACGATGTAGGCTGAGACATAATGACAGCTGATTACACGTACTATGAGACAACAAATACAGCACACCATGTATAAGAACCACCTTCAAAACACATATTTTATGAGGGAAAATGCAAAAATCAACTCCAGAATTCAACTGAGTCAGGATTAATAAGAATTAATAAGAAAAGAAACACAAGATCAGACACGTCGGTGTCAGACCTTTTCAGTGCAAGTTCAGTAAGTAGCGACTTCTGTGTGTATTTTTGACATTACAACATAAACAGACAATCCATTCAGCAAAGCCCCATGTGTAGCACTGGTCATTAGAATGAAGCTAATCAAAATTCCAATTATTTTACCACTCATCCTACCATTTATTTATTTTTACTTGTCTTGTACCAACCACCAGCCCCAATCACAATAACCATAAAGAAATAAAATCAGAACTTTTGAAGGCAAAGGTTAGAGGATTATGTTACTGGTAAATTACATGTACAGCTGGGAACATCTGGATGGGAAGTACTCTCCCTTCCTGCAACATCAAACGCTGTCAGTGCTCTGACTGTAAATGCATCAGTGGCGATGGTAAGTGGCCCGGGTGTACTGGGAGTCCATCAGAGCTGAGTGTTTTTCTAAAGTGTGAACATTTTTTAAGATTATGCTTTTAGTAAAGGGGTTGAACAGCAGAACCTCCCCACACACAGCTACTGGTAACATACCTAAATGCAATTGAATATCATGAGGTTACATTTTGTGGCCTGAGCAGTGATGAGTGCAAATAAAAAGACGTACAGGATCTGTGGCACCTCCTACAACTGTTGCGGACACATTTTGAAGCAGTTTATATTTTAAGAGGTTCTCTTACGGCCACATTCATCTCCCTTTCCCTTTAGTGTCGAGTTAAAATGCTCACTAGTTTTATAGCGGACAGAATTTTCACATCACACCAACCAAGAGACAAACATATTTTATTGCGAAGCCTTAGTTGTCTGTTGTGGACTGCCTCTTGATGAGAGAAGTGTCCACGTGTTGGTGTTTTTTTATCATGAATCCAAACAGATACAAGCCATTTAATGCGCAACTCTCCCTCCCTGCCTCATCGCAAAGTACGGCCAGCAGTGAGATGACTCCTTCTGATGTGAACATTTTGGAGAAGGCAGGCTGCCGAGTGTGAAACGGCCTTTGCTTCCACCGTCTGTTACCACTTGAGACCATGTTTGTCCTCTAGCTCCGGTGCACTGCTGGGCTGTGTGGGCAGCTCCAGCACATCTTCTTACTCTATTCACATCTCGAGATCAAAGTCAGTCTGCACTTCTTCATCCTGATCGCCCTCCTAATCATATCACCCTTAAATTAATGTAGTATGCGTTGTGTTCCGCAGCTCATTGTGTTTGTTCTTACAATATCACGATGGGTTAATGTGATCCTTGTTAACATTGAATAAATTAGCATAATTACTGCCAATAGAAATAATGTGCCGTGCCGCTCAGCAGCATCTTGCGTTTTACAGTCTGGTGTTAAGTTTCTTCCAAGCGGTGAGTTTAATTTCTTCTTTAATGAACATCTCTTATTTTTCCTTCTTTTCTGTGACAAAAATCAAGCAGCAGCTCTAACTGAGCCATGTCCTCTGAGCAATCTGCAGCCAAGCGTTCAACCTGCTCGTTTCGTATATATAGTGGGCATACATAGGAACCCAATGAGATACATATTAAGCTTTTGCTAACTATGATTATTGTTTAAATTAGTGAGGTAAGATCCGCATAAGTTTAGGTGTCATGCATCCTAAAAGCATTAGCACTCTCAGCACACAGAGAGCCAAAAGGCCCTCCATGTTCCCTCCATGTTCCCTCCATGTTCCCTCCATGTTCCCTCCATGTTCCCTCCATGTTCCCTCCATGTTCCCTCCATGCTTCCTCCATGCTTCCTCCATGCTTCCTCCATGTTTACTTCATGCTCGTCATGTCACAGTCCGTCCTCCTTGGTTACCAGTGAGCTTTCTTCTCTTTGGCAACCAGCTCCAGGAAATGGGAATGGTTTGCGTACAGCGGGAAGGACGAGTCAACATCTACCCACTGGACTTGTCCTGCGTCATCGCCGGCTTGCAGCGGCAGCTCGCTCACACTGTTGCCTACGGTAACAACAAAGATATGTCATCGCCCGACAAAAAACATGTTTAATGTCGCCACAGAAAAATGATCTCAAGAACACGTTTTTTTTTTAAATGGTTTGCAAATTGCTGGAGCTGTTGTCGCATGAGTTAAATACTGGATTTCGAAAGATTTGTTTTGACAATTAAAAAAATATGTAAATAAAACGATTGATACCCGATTCGTCGTGGAAGTTGACAGCGACCGTCTCCATCCAAGCATTGTCAGTGTTTCTAGGATCATCCACACAGCCTTTATAGACCTGAAGAAGAAACAAACATATTCTAGTTTTCCTCATAAAGGAACTTGTGGAGTAAAATGTGACAGAAAACTATTGAGTGGGTGTCAATGGCGGACCTGAAACCCTGGAGATTTGAAGAGTTTGGAGATGCGCTCACTGATTTTTGCCCTCTCTGATGACGGGACTGCCAACGAATTCAACGCTTCTTCCGAGAACTCCCGCTGCAGCGTGAGAGAGACCTGCTCCCCTGGATCTACCATCCCCTACAGAACAATCACACCGACACAAATAAACCACTCAAACCCTTAAATGTCTTGGCTTCCTTTTTGTTTGAAAGAGAAATGCAGAAACCACCAACCCCAGGAATGGCCCACTCCCCACAGTCTTTCCTCTTGATGGACACAAACTGCAGGATAGGCCGCTTGGAGACGGAGTGAGATATCTTTGCTTGTTTGGCATCTACTTTCCATCTGCCAGACAGTGACAAAACACACATCTGTCCATCAGGCATTCATGAAAAGAAAACTGCAAAGTTCATAGTTCTTTGTCAATTGAGCATCTTTCTAACGTGACAGGAAACGTTTCTGTTACGCTGATATCACATTTAGAAGAACCTTAAATTGCATTGGTGGTAATGAGCAGTCCCACACCGTGAATTCTTCTTTATGTAGCCAACTTGAGAAATGAACTTTGATTTGCAAGTATCTGGATAATACAGAGAGGTAAAGTAAAGAAAAGGTTACCTGGTGACAATGGGATCTGCTGCGTGATTGGGTCCCCATCGTCCCAGCAGACCTCTACCAGTCACCCCTGTGCGTCCATGAGGATTCCTACACGAGTGAAAAGCACATTTGTAAATGCAGTAACAAAGAAGAAACAATTATTACAAACACAAAACTCTTTACTGAAGACTTCAGCTCTCATAGCCCTGCTCTGGCTACTCATCCTGACATGCTTGTTAAACATGTTAAAGTGGAAACAGGCAATTTTTCAACTTCTCTGAAATTATAGGAAACCAATCTCAACAACGATGGTGTCATTATTCTACAGCTATCACATTGTGCAATCAATATTTACTACATAATGATAAGTTAAAGCAAAATACTTGTCTATTGCCACTTTAAGCAAAGTCTTTGACGTTAGCATTTAATGAAATGACTCCCTGTAATGTGAGAGGGCTGCGAAAACACTCGACGGCCGCTCTGTGCAGCTAAAGCTGTATGTGAACGTAACATTAGGAAAATGTTTGCTCACACATAAGCCACCAGATTAACTGATATACAAAGTCTTGTTACTGTGACTTTCTTTTGGGCTTGAAAATCACTGAATGTAGATGTGAGTTACCTGTTTTATGCTAAGCTAATCAAACTGACTGAGTGTCTCTTGGCATGCGATGACTTACAGCGGTTTTCCTTTTTCTATTTTGTAGATGCCTTCAAAGCTCGTCCTGTCCACGCCACCGTCCACAGCGTTAAACTTTGGAGAGAAAGAGCTGCGAAACAAGGAAAGTCATCGGCATGAATAAACTCCAGCTGGTCTTTGAGAACTACGAGCATGTACAACAGTCAGAATGTCTGACAGTAGAGATCATCGACAATTCATTCAGCATACACTACATTCCTAAGATGTATCGCTCACCCAATATCAGGATCCGCCCATACTGGTTTCTTTTCTACCGACGGGTCGGTGTGGCTGACAGGTTTATACTGCGGCCAGTTCTGACTCCAGCCCACCTTGTCATCCGGCACGAGGAAGCGCTTGATTTTGGACCCTGGATACTGGGGGCACCTGGACTTGAGATGAGACGCTGCTGAGGATGGCATTGTCCAGACACTGGTTGTGTAGAGGTTACAGCAACTGGTACTGATGGGTCTGATGGATTGACTGGTCCTGAAAGGGTAAGAAGATGAGCAGCAGATGGCCGGCCTGCCAGGCAGGAAATATGAGATATAGAAATCCAGTAAGTCAGCCCAGATCTGCCTCCCCTGCAGCAGCGCTGCCCCCCTAAAAAAAAAAAAAAAATATATATATATATATATATATACACACACACACAATATATATAATCTCGCTCTCAGGGTCTTTCACAAATCCAATATTCAAAATGCTTCATGTTCTTATTTCCTGAGTTGCAACTTGTCCTGATTATTTTGTCTTCTTTTTTTTTTGGTTGGCTGATGCCTAAAATGTTCTTCAGCCCCCCCCAAATAATTTGGCATTATTGGATTAAAAAACAAAAAAAAAATAAAATTTTTTTTTTTTTTTTTGGTGGTCATTAAATTAAACTATTGTTTCTCACATGGACACGTTATTTATAACTCTAACATGCTACATATGTGCGTGCGTTCTGGTTTGTATGTTTTCTCCCCCTTCAAATTACAATCCAACAGCCTACCATCATACTTAACGATATAAAGTAGACACCGTCAGGTCCATTCTCCATCCATTGTGTGCGGCCCCTTTAAGAATTAGGATTTGGGAGTGACAAGGATATGAAAGCTAGTTTATCCGTCTTTCCTTTACAAGCAGGAAAATTATTTCTCTCTTTATTTGAGAAACGTTCATATTTGTGTTGTCATATTTCACTATGACCCTGAAATTCTGTCTCTTGTGTTATCATATACTGAATGAAAGCAAAACTACACAGCAAAATCACACTCTTTCTGATTGAACCAATCTATGAACTGTCTGAAACAATGGATATCAGCGGCCCCAAATGGGCCCCAAAAAAAATGCCTCACACTATGCGCGCAAACATACCACTCTCCTTGGGGCTAAGCCCCCCCTTTCTTTGAATTCTAGAAACGCCCCTGTGTGTGGTTTGGTTAAGCTTTTATTTGTTAAATTAGCTTGACATGTCATTTCATATCGATATGATATGAAATGAAGCTTGACTACAATGTTGCACGTAAGCAACGTTCATAATATTGTAAATCGATGTAAAAAGAGTTAGCTAATGGTGTCTACTGTAATATTGACTTATCATATATATCATGTATGGCACTGTTTAATGACTTTGACAGAAATAGCCACTAAAGCACATGACTGTCTACTTTCGATTATCTTAGAGCCGAAACTGTCCTATAATGTCAAAATAGTGCACGCTTCTAGTTAAACCTGTTAATGAACGTTACTGTCCATACCTAACTTCGCGAGTGCAGCCGGCAAACGGGAGTCCGAAGAGAGTGAGAGCCAGACGAATCCTGCCGATCCAGTCTCGTTGTCGGACCAAATGGACCATTCCTTGGGACACAATAAATCAATAGTCCTAAATTAACTACCACAACAGGCATGCGGCGCAGAGTAACCAGGAAGTGCACCGCCCGACGCTGTGACGTCTGCAAAAGGGGGTGTGGTTACGGTAGTCACACTCGTTTCCATGGTGATAAGATTATTATAGTATTTATGTCTCTAACAGAGAAATAAATAAACGGAAAAAATACATGCATGTTCTATATTATATATATCTACAACTTGTTATCGACTTCAAAAAACACCTTTTTGTGCTTGTGCTTTATATTTCATTTAAAAACTAGTACATTCATCTGTAAATGAGTTTAAATTATTAACAATCAGCTGTTTATTAGGTTGAAAGAGGACAGTTCAAAGCTGTGACTCACTGTCAAGAAAAGTGCGAGGATAAACAATACGGAAAAATGACAAGTTTATATTATTATTTGACAATGTAAATCATTTGTAAAATTTGCTCTACAAGAGTATTGAATTGTAATAACAGGTTTCCTATATATTAACATGAATACATCTCAAATATAAGGCTGCAAAATGCATATACAGTTTCATAATTTACTGTCAAATATAATAATTGTATCCTGTTTTGTATAATGTGCATCGTGACATACAGTGAAGTCATCTAACATAGCGGTAGTGGTTGGATAACCACAGAAAAATCGATAAAAATGACTATTTGGTCATAAAGTCTATTTCTCTTGTCACAACAGGCAGCATGCAACAAATTTCGACACGCCCACTCGTAGCTGCTGCTGCATGTTTATTTTACAGATTGCGCTTGTTTCGTTCTAACTACGGAGCCGTACGGGCGGGGGCTTTAGCCAACTGACGCGAATCCGCCCAGACAAGTCACCCTCACGAGCATATCTAGCGCAGCTGTATTAACCGTAGTTTGGCACGCGCATTTACGCTCGGTGCTTGAGACCAAAATCCGGGCTCGCGCACGAAACACATTTACACTCCGGTAGTAGAGAGGGCCCAGGATCGAGTCACTTTGCTTCCGTCAATCAAACAATCCGTTCGGTTTAAAGCCCCGCACGAACGTTAAACCGATCTAAGGGGCGGCGGTTCCTCGGTGAAACACATTGACAGAGCGGGAGAGGAAGAAGAATGGCGGATTCATGCAGCACTGCAACGGTCGCGGCCGCAGGCTCCAACAGCGCTACTCCTGCTGCTGCCGCTGCCGGGGCGGCTGTCACGGTGGCGCAGGATGGAGCGCCCGCAGCCGCGGGACCCAAGGCCCCGGCCGAGTCCGTGAAGGGCCAGATGTTTGACGTGGGCCCCCGCTACACCAACCTGTCGTACATCGGGGAGGGAGCGTATGGAATGGTCTGGTGAGTTGTCGTCTCTGTTGGGCCACCGTAGTGTCTAACGTTAAATCAAAAAGTGCTAGCTAACGTAAGCTTGTTTGTTAGCAGATACTGTTAGCCAGCTAGCCCCCCAACTGTTATAGTCAACAAGCGTTTGTCCCGTAGATGTGAGCGTCGATGTAAGTGTTTTGAAACTGCTGCCCAACATTCAGACCTTGTTGAGCCCGAGAGCAGCTCATGTTGTGGTTAGCATGTTAGCTCACTAGCTACAGGCGTGGCTATGAGCTTTACAGGAAACAAGATTGGGAGTGATTGCGTAGGACGGAGGTCGCTATATCCAACGAGAGATATTTTTTGCATTCAACCCGCAAATTTGAGTTAGTTATCGCGACAGCCGTTTATCACGCCCAGCGCTAGTCTCTAACCCACATTTATCTCCGTTTGAATTGTAATTGCTCAACATTAAGCCTGCAGCAAAGCTGGTGCAGAGGATATGCGAAGTGGGATTTGTCAGTTGTTGCGAGGCCTTTCCTCGTGTTATCGCTGTCCGTGATCCACAGCCGTGTGTGGTCATAGTTAAGCAACCCTTGTTGCACTTGACATCAATGCCAAGTCATCGCAATGGAGGCTGAACCGTGAACAGGATCCGATGTGAAGGTGGATGTTCTAGCACGAGAACTGGGGCCCACACATCCATCTCAACAAGACACTCTGCGTACACCATCACTGTCAATGTGTCAGCACATTGTCAACACCCACTGATTGGTACAGTGAAAGAAAAAAAATAGTTTAATCTTAGGATCTACACTTCGTCCTTATGTGCAGTTTTACATATGTTTTGTTCCAGATGTGACATTAACAGATGTTTACATTCAGTGCTGTTTGTTCATGTCACAGCATTTTACCACAAAGGTGTACATGTGTGCGAACCAGTCTAGTTTCTGCAGTGTGTTGTGCAATAGGAAAACACGCCTTTTACCAGTGTGATGTAACTGGTGTTCCTGTTGAGGCTAAGAGACTAGCTTGGATTTGTTTTTCCTCACAGAGGGGACAGTGAATTCAAGGGTCCCAGAAACGCACTATTCACAGCTGCTCTCAGCCTCCATGTACTCTACACCTACACTGACACCTACACACCTACAGAACCGCTCCACATATCGCAGCAAAACAACGTGTCGCATGTGCATCTTGGCATTGGAGAAAGTCTGCTGCGCCCTTTCAGCCCTAAGTATTAACCCCGTTTCTGATGGCGTGTGTGCGTGCGTGTGTGCGTGTGTGCGTGTGTGTGTGTGTGTGTGTGTGTGTGTGGGGCTTGAACGAAGTGTAACATGAGACCTGTTCTGTGCTTCTTTTCCGCATCCACCCTACCCAGCTCTGCTATGGACAACGTTTCAAGCCAGCGCGTAGCCATCAAGAAAATCAGCCCCTTTGAGCACCAGACGTATTGCCAGCGCACACTGAGGGAAATCAAGATCCTGCTGCGTTTCCACCATGAGAATATCATCGGCATCAACGACATTCTCAGGGCACGGCAACTTGACAACATGAGGGATGTGTATCCTTTACAGCGAGAGTCCTCCTGCATTTGTGTCACTTATTCTCCAAACATAGATTAAATTAAACTCTTACATAGGATTAAATCGATTTTAAAAAAAACCCAAAAAAAACAAAACTTGTTCCACACTTGAATTTAAGCAGTTAAAAGCATTATTTTCTTTTCTTTTTTTCATGCTGCACTTACTATAAGTGTAGCACTCAAAAGGTATTAATCTAAACATCTGGTCATAATGCATTCAAAAAACAGTTGCGGAACGGTGTACAGTGACTTTTGAAGAGTAACTTTATTGCAACAGCTTTGTTTTTGTTTTCATTTTAAGTGTGTGGGAGAATTGAGGATTCTGCGGTGGCAAACAAATAAACAAGGAGTTATTAATCCGGCTTCAGCCTTGGTGCAGAGCTTCCAGATCGGTTTGATCAAGAGTCCAGTGTGACCGTTAATAAGGAGGTAATTATGTTTCTCATGGCTGGACAAGCTACATTTTCGCCGAAATATGAAATATAAATGATTATAAAATAGTTTTTAGGTGCCGGGTGTTACTGATAATTATTTTAAATTGCAGTTCGTACATTGAGATTAGTTTATTAGCATTGTCAACGTTAATGCAACTATTTCAAGTGAACATAATGATAACATATTCTACAATTAAAAGAATAAGAAGTACTGTGATGTCTAGGCATACGTGTTGAAATGAACTCTACTGCTCCAAACATCTCAGCTTTACCCAGACGGGCTGTTTATCTAACGTCTTCTAAACGGATCATTTGAGTATGTTACCTAGTTTTGATTCAACATGTCTCCACTTTGTTGCTGACTTGTGATGATGTAACCAGGTCCAGGGACGGCACCAACACCACTTTTCATATTTTATTCAGTATGTAGCTCAGCTGGTAGCCGCATTGCACACCAGGGTCGCGTATATCAACAAGACTAGCCATGTAAGCGGCTCTGTGAGCCTGTCTTAGCGGTCCTTATGTGTCTCCTGGTGTCGGTGGAGGCCGTCCCCCTTTTTGTTGTCCTCCTTGACCCGTGCGTCCGTCCAGCTACATCGTTCAGACCCTGATGGAGACGGACCTGTACAAGCTGCTGAAGACCCAGAGGCTGAGCAACGACCACGTCTGCTATTTCCTCTACCAGATCCTGCGAGGCCTCAAGTACATCCACTCAGCCAACGTGTTGCACCGTGACCTCAAGCCCTCCAACCTGCTCATCAACACCACCTGCGACCTCAAGGTCTGCACACACACACACACACACACACACACACACACAACCCATCATTTCTGGTAACAAAAGGCTACTCTATCCATTTTGTCCCGTCGCAAAAAAAGGACAAATTTTGGTGGTTGATTTGTTATTTTGGGTTATGGTGGATGTTACACATGAACCCAAATGAAAACTACTTATGTAAGCTTTGCACAGCATACGTAGCTGTATAATAGTGGAAATCCTGCACTTGTATGTTGTAAATGTAGTGTAGATGTGAAACATTCCCTGTGATTCAAAGTCTGTGTACGTGGTAACTGGTACACTTCAGATTTGGAAGTTAGTTAAAGAGGATATTTTTGTAATCTCGCACACATTGTGCATTTAAGCCGACTGCTTATTATTATTTAGCTAAAACAGTTTTACACAAGAACAGTTTCATGATTATTTAACTATTGGTACAAAGTGTAAGTTGCTGCGCTCCACAAGATTGAAAAAGAATCTGAGGAATGTTGGATTGACCGAAGCCCTTCCTTGCTTGTCATGACGCCTCACTGATCATTGAAAATCATTTTGTTGACATATTCGAGTCAAAGGTTGTTACAGAGGGGGATTTGGAAATGTCTTTTTGTTTAATGTTCTATACATCAGGCTATGAATAATATATGAACACTCTCCTCTGTAAACACCTTCAGAATACAGAGGTGTGTGAGTGAGTGTGTGAGTGAGTGAGTGGAAGATTTCTGGCCCAGTCTCCGAAAAACCTCATTTTGAGAAAACAACCTTTTTAAAAATATGTTTACACTACAGGTGAAGAGGGTAAATAACAATAACTAATATATCTCACCATGAAACTTCCCCAGTTGGTTACTTTAAGACATTTAGTTTTCGGAAATGTTATGCTTAAATATGCAAATAAGGCATTATGTAATGCTGACTTTTGGGGAATTTTGGAAAAATCTACAGACGCAAATAGACAAAGTAGTAAAATAAACACCTAAATGTGTATTTTGGAAGCAAAATGTTTTTGTTTGTGGCGTCGTGTGCGTTTCTTCTTTTATCAGCTTCTCGGGTCAGTTTGTTCCGTCGGAGATTAATTTAAGTCTTGCTTTTGTTTCTGGAGTGTCTGGTTTGTGTTTTTCAAAAAGCAGCTATAATAAAGGCATTGATATGAGCCATGAGGGTTCTCTTTGCCGAGTTGAACGGCTTCAGTGAACACTTGTGAGCTCTCAGCAGCCAAACCATCAATCCCTGGATTAGTTGATCATGTGGGAGGAGTGAAGAACAAAGGCAGCACATGCTGCAGCTGCTTTCTGACACATTCCACCCCATGAAAAACAGAAAAATAAACCCTTATTACAGCAGCTATATGTTCCATCTGTTACTTTGTACCACTGTGGCAACATTCACATTCCCATTGAACATAGGTATTGTGATACTTGATTCAGAATACTTGATCTACCCTAAGTGTCTGACCTCTGACCCTTCATGTCATCCTCAGATCTGTGACTTCGGCCTGGCACGGATAGCCGACCCCGAGCACGACCACACAGGGTTCTTGACCGAGTACGTGGCTACGCGTTGGTACCGGGCTCCAGAAATCATGCTCAACTCAAAGGTGTGCGTGTGAGGAACCGATGTGGATTCTGAGTTGGAATGACGAGCTTTTCAGTTTGTTGACTGTGTGTGTGTGTGTGTGTGTGTGTGTGTGTGTCAGGGCTACTCCAAGTCCATTGACATCTGGTCAGTGGGCTGCATCCTGGCTGAGATGTTGTCCAACAGGCCCATCTTCCCCGGGAAACACTACTTGGACCAGCTCAACCACATACTGGGTGAGTCTTCACTCATTTCTACAAAATGTTCTCACTATTTGAAGCACCTAGTACGACTATCGGTTGTTTTTATTTGCAGGACGATCATTCACGTTTGCGTCCACTCTGATTTTCTTCATTCGCCCAGTTGTGCTGTTTTGAATTGGTTGTAATTTAAAGCATGTACATATAACCAGAGTTCTTCTCTCAAGTAACTGAACTTTTTGAAAACTGAACTTGCACAGTTTCAAGTAACTAGAGTGAGACGTGGGCTGAAAATGGGGCGAGCACCGGCCATATTGTAAAAAAAATGTCCCCCTCTCTCTCCTCTGTGTGCAGGCGTGCTTGGCTCTCCATCTCAGGACGATCTGAACTGCATCATCAACATGAAGGCGAGGAACTACCTGCAGTCCCTGCCTCATAAACCCAGGATCCCCTGGGAGAAACTCTACAATGCCGACTCAAAAGGTAACGGCAGCACTGGGCCTTTTGTATGAGTTATGGTCTCCTGTGTAATTCCACTGTACTAACTGAAGCTCTTGATGAATGTGATGCAGCTCTGGACCTGCTGGGCCGCATGTTGACGTTTAACCCCGTGAAGCGCATCAGCGTTGAGGAGGCCCTGGCTCATCCTTACCTGGAGCAGTACTACGACCCCTCAGATGAGGTACGCAGTGACGGAGCCCGCTTTTCGTGCCGAGTTATCGACCGTTACACTATCGCCGCAGCAAAAGGAAATCAGTAAAAACAACTTGCATGTTGCTTTGAAGAAAGATAACAAGTAGTAACAAGTGAAAAGCTGCATATTCCATAAAAGCCAGTGAAGGAGAGAATCTAACTTTTGTTTTTCATTTTATTATACATTGTACTGTCCTCTACAGATGAAACGCATACTTACATCCACACTGTTCCTTTTTAATTGTGGGAAGCCAATTAATATTAGATTAATTGTGCAGCCCCGGCCGTCAGTCAGCCAAGTTTTGAGATTTGCACAAACGTCGGAGGCCTTTTGGGCCTTTTCCCTCCAACACGTTCGTCATTGTTTTCAATCATGAGCTGAGATTTCATTGTGAGCCTTTTCCTGCGCTGTGCCGGGAAGCCTCTTAGCTCTGTGTGGAATGCAATTAGTCTTAAGTTTGCTCCAGGGTTCAGCTGGAGGGAGGTCAAAGAACGAGGATCTCGGTTTACGTCAGCGTGGACTGAATCCTACCGCTGTAGAAATCCAAGCGGTGTATTTCTTCACCAGTTTGTCCAATGTTTGTATTCAGATCAGATTTCAAACCTCTTACTTCACTGTTCGGGCTGCATACAGTCTCTCCAGCTTTCCCCACGTTGCAGCATTAGTCTTCAAGCTTAACTTTTATATAAATTGAATCTGCCCCTTATATGTTGATTTAGTGTGTGCAGCATGTTGCAACAATGCTCTTCTCAATTTTACCATCCAGACTTTGTTTTAAGCTGGATTTGAATGAAATGTCTCTCCAGCTTTAGTGGAAGGTGTGTGTTAATGTGTTTTTAATGCGGTTGTGTGTAGCCGGTAGCAGAGGAGCCCTTCACTTTCTCCATGGAACTGGACGACCTTCCCAAAGAGAAGCTGAAGGAACTGATCTACGAGGAAACCGCTCGTTTCCAGGAAACCTACCAGGGCTCCTGAGACGCACAGGTACGTGAACGAGGCTGCTCACCATCCAATCAAACGTGAGCTTCTGCTGCAGACACACTTTAGAAGCTATTCCTGCCCAGGTGTTAAGCTAGTTCTCCTGGTTTAAAGTCTTAACCGGTTTAACTGAGCAGTTAGAGGCTACATTATGTCTTTCTTGCTCTTGCTTGAGCCTGTTCGAAGCGCTCTGAATAGACTTTGTTGTGATCTGAGACCACTAGATGTCAGTGGCGCATTAATGCATTCATTCAAACACACCCAAAACTCTTAAGAGACGATAGTAAATATACATATGTGGCTCCGAGAGTCAAGAGAAACATGGAGCTACCGAGACGAATCCTCAACGACAGACTTATGTCTGACTGCATGCAAAATATTCAACGTCTATGTTTAATATCCAAGGACTGGTCTGAAAGTGAGCAGCTACATACGATTATGAATGACTCTTATTGTCGTTCCAGTTAGTGTTAGTCAGCAGGATGTCAGAGGTACTTAAGTAATATTTGCTCTATCATTACTTTACTAAATTTGACCATACATCCTGTCGGCTGTGATGACACGTTCATGGCACAATGCAGCGGTGCAGGAAGACAAAAAACGAAATTTTTAAAGATCCACACGGGTGTTTATTTCATCACGGACTCACTTACCATCTTTCAAGTCATTATTTGGACGTTTGAGAGTTTAATCTAGTAGCTTAAAGTTATTGCGAGGAACTTTTCAACACCGTTTGTCTTTAAGTGCAGAGTTTTGTGAGTCTGATCCTTTAGGATGTTAGAATCAGGCTTAATATTTATTTATTCAAAGTGGGCCTAAGTGCATTTCTTTGTCTTTTTTTTTTTTTTTTTTTAGCCCTAAAGAGTGACAAAGCCACACAGAGGCTTTGGACAAGAAGACTCCAAACGACATGCTAAAACAAAAAGGAAAAAAAAACGCATCTTCAAGAAACCAACAAAAAGAGAAAAACAAGAAATGAACATTTAACTGCTTATCTTTCCATTTCTACTGCAAGAGAGCTAAGTTTAACTTTGATTTCTGTGGTGGGGTGGGGTGGTTGGGTCTGTCGTACTCATGCTGTTTCAGTTTTGTCCATGTTGGACTCTCCCTCCTCTCACCTCACATTTGTTTTCCTGTTAAACGTCCTGCCTCATCCCGTCCCATCTACAGTAACGCTCTGTTCCCCTCCTGTCCCGCACCCGTTGATCAGTCTGAGCTCTCTCTGTCATATAAACTTCTGTATTAACCGACGCCATAACGCTCTTGTCTTGCTCCATGTAAATTACAACCTGGAAAAAACCGAGGGCTAAAAGAACGGGGATGCTAATCGGGTGTATGTATATACAAATATATAAAAGCTTTGTTTTTCTTTCTCTTTACAGTGTGCTCGTCGCAGTTTTTGTTTGTACACCGTTGTTCGAGTGTTTTCAGATCAGTTCCGAGTCGTATCTTTGTTTTTGGGTTTATATTTGCAAGTCATTTTTTTTTTTTTTTTTTTTTTTTTTTTTGAACACTTGATTTTGAGACAAATATTCAATGTTTTTACTGGCATGTTGGCAGGTTTTTTTTTTTTTCTTCTAAAAACAAACTGTATGATCATATGAATGCATGCATTCCTGAAATCAACCAAAGGAACCCTGGCTGGGGAGCAACTTAAGGAATATCTTATCTGTCGTTTTGAATCGTACCGTAGACACATTTCTCAACCTTTAACTCGTACCGAGGACAGACGAACCCAACGCCCCCTTTGGTGGAAGTTGGTTATATTCAGGAGGCGCTACACGATTGGACCAAAATAGAAATTACGTATAGTTTCTATTCTTGCGCATTCATTTAGATAACGGCGATGCATGCGCCCCATTTTCCAGAACAGGTGCGGCCCTCTGACGGTCAGGAACTACCCG